TCGAAGAAAGCTCCTACGTCTCTGTGGCTGCGTCACGGGCTCGTGCCAGGTGTCAAAGCCAAGATGTTTGCAGATCTGCCAGAACAGTTTTGCGAGTTGCCTAACCTGTACATCATATTTGTCTGCCGCCGAGATGAGGCCCATAAGAGCCTCTCTACGCTGTCTTTTTTCCTCGAATGTATCTGTGCGATGAAGCTGTTTGAGTACTTCGCAGGTATCTGTGTGGATAAAAAGTAGCATTTGGTGCGCAGCATACGGACAAATATCGGTTAAGTGTATGTCCGTAGCTTCTGCCTCTCGGAAAGGCCCGTTCAGCATTTTCTGCAGTACCTGCAGTTGACGCACAGGCAAAGTGTGCTTGCCTTTAAGGGTGTAGGCAGAAGCAGCTGCTGATAGAACTTCGAAGGGAGCTGCACAGTGAGTGCAGTCATCGAGCCCTCCTTTACAGTAATTCTTGGTCATCTGGGATAACGTAAGCTGATGAGGTGTTTGAACAAAATGCCAGTGAAATGTAGTGCAGCTGAAATAACCCACTGTAGAGCGAGCCGCGAGGAGGAAGCGACAACAGTTTGTCACTGAATTGCAGCACCAGACTCGGACATCGTGCGACTCTGGTTGAAGCGCGTACTGAACTACATCTGCCTTGAGCCGTTGCGGAGGAGTTCGGGGAGGTGCTGCTGCGGCACATGTGGAATGCCCCAGACGGGAAGTAAGGCTGGCATATAAAACGTAGTATAGCTGTACGACGGGCAGCTCAACAAACCACACAGCTTGAACTCGTCTACTTCGCCGCAGCATTTCTATACAGGTCGAACTCAGAAACAGAATATGCTATTCACTTTTTGCCGATTCCTTTCGCATAGGGGTCTTTTCGCATAGGGGTGACACACTGATGAAAAAAAAACCAATAGCTTGTTCACACGTTAGTCAACAATAGGTATTCAATACTATATGAGGCATGGCCAGTGCCAGTAATTCAGCTTACGGAGTCGGTGCACAGGCGTAGACTTGCAATCAAGAGCGACGAACGCTTGGCAGTGGATTCGGAGTGCGCCATTTGACAGCCAAGACTCCAGAGTCTCTGGAGAAGGTGCATATGAAAATCGGCGACCGTCGCCTGCAGGAGAGTACCTCTTCAGAGGATCTGACAGGCGGGTGCGAGGGACTGAAACGCACAAAGCGGAACAGAGAGAGCAGAAACCTGTTCAAAAGGATTTTACGTTTGCGTTCGAAGCACTCATCATGCTGCCGTCAGGAAACGCCTTCCTCATTTAAATGGGTAGCACGTTGCCACGAAATACGGCATAAATACAAGTGATTTGTTTGCAGGATGCGCACGTTAGTGATTTCGCATGGCAAGTAATTTTGCATAGTACACATTCACTGGTGGCAGGTCCTTTTGAGCACTACAAATAGTGCATGGTATTAGCAACAGAGAAGCTGCACACTAGTTTCTCCTTCTTCATTGAGGAAGCAGGCAGTCCATTTTGCTCTAACGGAGCCTCTCTTGCCCTTAAACATAATGGCGAGGTCTATCAAACCAACGGAGTCGTGCTGTTCCTGGCCATTAGGGAAGAGCCAGAGGGAAAAGCAGTTGAAAACAGGACTCTCCAATCGACTAGCAGAACA